TGAAAATATCGCACATGAGTCGCGTAGCAAACTTGGGATGTAGACCGAAAAGGCCTCGGACCGCAATCCTTGCATAATAGTAATAGAATCTAGCCGGCTGACGCGTACCGAGGAGACGGCGATGACTCTAGTAGTTGTACATCGTAAAATGATGCACTGCAGCTTTATAGTTTATAGTTGAACTGGTTCGCGTGCATCGGTTGGTAGGCGCGACGACGAGGAGGGCACATGGAGGTGGGATACGCTAGCGCGATCGAGATGGCGCGATTTAAAAGGGATCGCGCATTTTATGAGCGGTATTAGGAACGGCCGTGTTAAATCTGTACGAGCGTTTATGGCTACTGGTGCTCATTTGCCCCAAGCGAAGGGGTCGCAGAGCCTCTCTTCTCTCCTCTCGACACCGTCTGCTAATTTTACGCTAATTTTCCGAATGCGACACTTGCCACCGTACGATAAACCGCGAGGTATGCGAGTGCGAACCACGAGTGCGAATAGTGAGATAATGAATCGAGCTGTTGGAATTTTTTGAATCATTGGATTTAGATTAATGGAATATTTGATGTTTACACAAATATTTCACAATTTTTAATTGAAATTTCGAGTGAATATTAATTCTATTCAAGAGAGAGAGAGAGAGAGAGAGAGAGAGAGAGAGAGTGAGTGAGTGAGTGAGTGATAGAGGGAGGGGGGAGGGGTTAGAAGATACTATCTTTATTATTTTGTTATTTTTATTCTTAAGCTGTAATAAATTTCATATATTGTTTAAGTAATAAAAATATTTATCGATTGATTCAAATAGGTGGCAGGAATGAAGGCCTTTAAATAATGAGCTCGTTAGCACAGTTAAAATCGACGTGATAAATGATAGATTTAAGAAAGGTAATAATTTTTAATGGTTCTATTTCATCACATTTGATTCGCTGTTTTAAATACATCGTTATCACTGATCGAGAAAATAAAGGATATTTCATAAAAATAGGTTGCCCCAACTACGTGCATCCTTATCTCGTAATTCGAGCGTCATAACAAAGAAATAAACAGCAATATCTGAAACATCTGAGTTGAAGTAGAAGAAAATAAAAACGAGGAATAACGAGCTCTCGCAAGTACAATATTTTACGAGGCAAGGGGTAAAAAAAACGAGCGTCGGAACATATAAGCAGTAATGATTACCCACAGCGCAGTTATAATATCGCCGAAGCACGGCAGGATATTGACGCTAAAATTGAACAGCTCGGAGCACGCCTGATTTCATCCCTGGCGTCGCTCCTGATAAATCCTGGATCTGCTGCGGCATCAGTAGTACAAGACGATGCGCGTCAGGCGAAAGGTACATCAAGTAGTGCTCGCCATTATGCGATGATGCAATGACGACAACTTACACGGACGAGCGATACGCACACAGTATTATCTGTAATAACAATGTTCAACGGGTACTGGATGTGCGAGGCAATGCTGGGCGGCCAATCCTCGTAATGAAAGTATGATTGATGATGCAGACGGGAGGAGACCGGCTTGATCATTACCTCTCGACTCGCCAGTATATTGCATGTCTACGCGGACGCATGTATGCGCGCGCTGCGAGCACTTTATTATCTGACGAGATACACAATCTATAGGAGAGAGCTCAGGTGAGGATTGGTGTCGGACCAACTCGTCGACAAACGGCGACTGGTAACAATAATTTGATTGGTTATGCGTGCCGCTACTCAACAGTCGACTAAAAACACTTTTCAACGCCTTACGGGAAATAACCATACCACATGAGTATTAAAAGAAACTACCAACAATGTGTAAGATTTTTATACGATATTTTCACGAGCTATTGGAATATCATGGGGTCGCCCAATCATGTATAATTCATTATTATTCCAAACTATATTATCTATCAATTTACAATTTTTTTTTTTAATTTAAAGTACAATAGAAGAAAACTTTACAGTACAAAACACTCTATAAGCCATCGATACTATTTATATTACAGTATTTGTTTTTAATGCCTTAAATGAATTGATATATATATGTATAGAGAGAGAGAGAGAGAGAGAGAGAGAGAGAGAGAGAAGCCTATATGTAACTAGGAGTTTTATATCGAAATACGAAAACCAGGTTAAATATATAGCTGAATACACTATTTATGTAGCAAAAAGCTCGAGATGTCCATTCGGAAGATAAAGCGCGGGTTAAGTGGTCGAAGCTTTCCTTCCCCGGGGAAGCTCGGGGACAGCCAAAAGCACATTTATCATTTATGGTTTCCGACAGACAACAAAATCTGCCCTAGGGGCGATATTTTGGTTATTAAGGTATCGCGAAACTGTATCGAATGGAGTTGACGTGTCAGACGAGCAATATATATCGAGCTTCAAATGAGAAGGAGTGAAATGAAGAGAGAGAGAGAGAAAGAGAGTAAGAGGATGATAGAATTTGAGAAACTGTAAAGTAGTAAATGAAAAATTTTTTATCAATTATTACTGTGAGAAGTTTTATTTGTACAGCTAAGAAAATAAGTACTCGACATATAACTTTCATCAACTTTAAGCACGAAAAATGTAGCAAAATGTATAATGAAATTGTTATTACTAGTGATATGCCAAGATTGGATTTTCAAAGATAGATGATCACTTTTAAGAGACGTGAGAAATATTTTAACGACTAGGAGATGTTTATAGTGGAAATTGATAGTTCAATTTTATATAATTGGAAAATACACAACAACAGTCCCTCATGATTTCACTTTGAATTTATTCTATCATTTTTCATTGATTTTATAATCTTAAATAAAGTATAATCCATTCATTTCTATGCAATATCACTTATCGAAACGAGGATGCCAAGACGAGTAAGTGCACGGTAAATTTGAGATAAAAGAAGGGGTAAAAGTGCCGGTGCGAAAGTACGAACAAGCGTGGAAGAGAGAAAGGGGGAGGAAGATGAAGGGATGTAGAAGTTGAGGAGGAGAGAAAGAGAGAGAGAGAGAGAGAAGAATGCGAAATAGCCATGATGAGGATTGACTTCGTAGATGATAATCTGACGAACACGAGTTTCCACTCTCAGCTACTTTTGAGATCACGCGGGCGGGGTCTTTGGGTCGATAATAGTAGCAGTAGTCGCTATAGCCGCTTCTTGAATGTGCGAATCTTTCTTGATTTTCTACGATCCACTATTTTACTGCGATAGTAGACATGTCAATTATGCCTCTTATCTTATCTGAATAAGGTTAAAAGGTTTTTAATTGCTGGATTACCTGGAAAATATGATTTGAATTTTCGCCGAAAAAAGGTTTTTCTTACATTCTAAAGATTTGAAACCGTAGAGAACCTGAAAATCATTTATAATAATAAAAGGGGTATTAAATTGAGTAAACTCTCAGCCAGCTGATGATTGGTAGAAATCTAATATAAGATTTCTAGATAATCGTTAAAATAATATTAATTTCGATAATATCGTAATATCATAAAAAGCACATGTGATTTGTTTCAATAAGGTTCCTTCAATAAGGTTCATAAAGCATTACAAATATATTAAACAAAGAACGAACGAGACCATTTTGTATTACAGTCTTCTAAGGCCATAAAAGAAATTAATAATAAAAGAAATCCGTCTTTTACGAGGTAATAAACTCTTTCTATCAGATTTGAAATGTTCACATCATCTATTTCTCCTTAACGTCAAAATAGTAACAGAGTAACCGACTCAAGCCAGATTTCGCCAATAAAAAAGGAATCCATCCAGGAGCGGTCCTCCTTATACATAAAGAAGAACACCGGAAAATTGACGGCGGTGCTTCTGCGAATATCGTAAGTGTAGCCTCTCTAAAACACCCTTAAAGCCCAGTTTGGACAAGGCAAACAACCCGTAACTCAGTGAGTGTTTATGAGATGGAGGAGTCCAAGGGGATGGTATGGACCAACGAAGAGGCAGCAGTTGTAAAAATACGCGAATCGCCCTTATGTCTCGGCCGTTACTTGGAGGGTCCAGCAAAGGAAAAGACGGTCTGGGTGGCGGCACACGGACCTCCAGTTTCTTCTAAGAGCGGCACTTCGCTCGGTCTGACTTCGGAAAAACTGAGAGCAGGGAAAGAAATCTCTGTAAAGGAGACTGTAATCGAAAGACAAAGGAAGGGAGATCGAGAAGGATGTGAATTACTTTGGATCCTCAAAAGGGAGGTAAAAGAGGCGAAACAACGGCGGAGCGTAGTAGTGCCGCATGTTGCCGGATCGTAAAACCGGCTCTGATCACCAATGGCAATTATCCCATCGTTATCCGCCGCGTTATCCCCTTCCCTTTTCTTTCTTTCTACACTATTTTGTCCTTTTTTTCTCGGCTAAGGGGGCTCTCGCCTGTTTTACTACAAACGAAGTGATTCCCACCTCGTAAATGCCTCGTTTCCATGGATTATACGCATATGACACAAGGTGACGCTGCCGTCTTGTCAATTTTGAATTTTTCACTTTGTTAAAATTCTCTGCATTATCCAATATTTCTGTTTTTTTTGGTTTTCATTTTTATTTTATTAAAGAAAAAGATTCATTTTAAAAATATTTGATATTCATTCGAAAATATGTATTTTTAACAAATACATTTTATTGTAGAAATATGACTGAATTTAAAGTAGTTGATGTTATCATTTTTTACATTTAATTTAATTATATCATTGTAATTTTACTCGATGTGCATTAAATTTTTAATTTCTTAAACATTTAATCATGAAACCTGACGAGTATAAAATCGATTACATTTTGAAAATGCCAATTCCTGATTTGAAACAAGTCAGTAGTGTTAATCAATATATATCAGGCGAAATCCATTCTCATATATACGAAGTTAAACTTATTACTTGTGTATAATTACTTTTAATGAATGGAACTTTGTAAGAACTTATAATTGGATACCAGTATTGTGCTTATATATGTATTTAGATGAGTGTACGTGTCCGAGTGCGTGTGCGTGTGGGTAGCGTGTAAAAATTGGCATTAATAATATTGGTGGTCTTGACTTACCGGCTCGATTGCTCTGGTCTATCATAGGTTGAACAATTCTACGCCTCGCATTGATGAACCTATAGGAAATTAAAAATATTTTAATTAGAAATTTGTAATTAAACCAGAAAATCGGTTGAGATTTATAAGTGAAACGTATTATATCGTATAACGCCAATGCATTAATTTCAAATTTGTTATCAAATTCTTTATTACTTATTGTTCCTTGCATTCACATAGTTTACATGTGATTATTACTGAACTTACTATTCTTAGAGATTTATTCGCAATATTATTTGAAATGTATTTCATTGGAAAAATCAGGTATATACAAGCTAAACAAGATATATCAATTTCAAGACTATCTCAACGAAATCACTGTATCAGACGGCAAATTATCAGCGCTTTTCATTAAAGGCAACAATAGACCGCTGGACGATTGCGAATTCATCCTCGTTAAATCGGATAAGGCTCCTTTTACTCGCTCAAGTAGAAGTGACCTCCTAATGAAACCACAGATTCGCTTGGATAATAGCGCCCTTTAATAAAGAATCGTCTTCCGCGATACATCATTAGTCGTCGTGGGCACAAGTAAACGGAAAAACCGACAATGGCTTTGCGGTTGTGTTTTGTCCTGGCTCGACGACTTCTTCCCGCACGCGCAAACAAAAAGAAGAAGCTGGAAGCTATATGGCAGGACGAAATGGTGGAAGGTCTGTACGTCAGCCGACGTCAGCGTCGCGGCGCCCTAATGGGCGCAGACGTCGGAAGTGATTGGGTTTCCGCTCGACTGACTTCAGCAGAGTCGTCCTTCCTTTCTATCTCCCATTCCTTTCTCAGCTTTATATCGGTCGGTCTTGCTCGCTTTTGAGCGAGCGGAGATTGCATGAGCGAGAGGGTGAAGGAGGGTTCTCTTGTTTTGCGGCGTGGACTGGGCTTCTTCTTACCCCGATTTCCTTACGCCTGGATGAATTTCTCCTTTCTCTCTCTTTCTCTCGGTCTGTCACACACACACACGCACAAGGACGCACACACACACACACACACACACGCACGCACGCACACGCACGAACGACGCACGCACGCACGCTGTTTTCTCACTTCTCTCATCAAGAAATGCTTGCTCTTTCGATTGGATGGAGAATTAGGTAGGAATGGGGTGGCTGTACGGGGGCACTGTTATGAATAATAATTATTGAATTCGCGCTTATAGAGAGTCAGTTACCCGTACCGACGCCTTCTATTATCACGTTAATGCCTACCGCTTCGGCTTGTCCAAACGAGTGTAGAACTCGAGCAATGCTTTGGGGCCGCACAATGGACGCGCGTCGTTGGAAAATTGACGATGCGTGGAAACTTCACCCGATTTTACCCTCTTCTCTTTCCCGTTTCTCGTGGGTATATTCTGGCCTAGGCCTTTCGTCTTTTTGTGACTAATTTCCATTATATTCGCTAATATGATAATAAGCCCATAAGCCCCGAAGAGAGACATTTGGCGGATATGTTGTCTTCTTAAGTAACAGATTAAAAATACTGGAAATAAAATAGGATTGATTTCTATACAAACAGCGACTTATAATGTAACTGTCCGAGTCCGAATATTACGATATTAGAATTGGAATTGTCAATGATCGAAAGCAGAGACAGAAACTGAATATTAAAAATATCATTTTGATAAGGGCGTCCTCTCACTCCCTCCCCTTCCTCATTCATTCTCTTTCCATGATCCAACATGCGTGAAAGGAACACTCGAAAGCATATTCTTTTTTTCGCGCGATCCTGACATTTTTTCCAATCCCGCCACTACTGGCCTCCCCATTCTTCGCACTTCACCCCTCCCACTTCACCTTAACAACATCTCGCATACTAGCCAAATCCCTATCCTCGTAGACACCCCCCTTGTGCACACCGGCAAACTCCGGCGGCACGTCACTAACAGCTGACTACCTCATGCCATCTCCATACCCACCCCCGTGTCCATTGACGGCGGGGCCGGAGCTGAAATATCGCCCGAACAATGGTGCCCACCAACGCGAATTGCACCACAGTACGAGAAACGACGACGCGCGACCCGCGTAAACGAGCGCCAAGGGAGGGTGAAGTGTAGGCAGGTTCCAGTAGCAAAAATATCGGTGGATTCTCAATGCTGGGAAACTCGTAGCGCGGGCGCGGGCCGATAAAATTTTACAGTCGAAATAACTCGGTGAAAGTACGGCGTTCTTACATCTACAGCTATGCTTTCGTAACTTTTCTCTACAGCCCCTCACTGCCTCGTCTTAGTTACATTATTATCATTACAAATGAATTGTCTGAAATCAATTTTAAAAAAAATAGTACGCTTCGCGAATTTGAGGAGGTAGACTCGCGTGAACTTGAATTATACGAGCTCTCAAGTTTATTTGAAGAATTTGAGGGAATTTATTGATTCATAAGCAGAGAATGAATTTCAAATTATCTAGATGGTAAGTTCACTGTGCATAATAATTTAATAACCTATTTTAAAAACTGAAGTACGATAAAAGAATATTAACTTTGATGGATGTGAGCTTCATTTTTTAGTCTTTTCAAGTTTCAAATTTAATCTATAATTTATTTGGTTTAGAAAAACGGCCGATATAAATAAGAAAAAAAATTTTTTTACGAAGTTTCCTATGAAAATTATTTACTAGTAGAATTTGTTAAAATATTACATGTCGTATCATTTTTAGCCTAGTATAGGTAATATGCGACGATAACTTTATTGATTGTCCACTATTATTTATATAAAATATTTATACATACAAATATATAAAGTAGTTCATGAAGATTGAAAATTATTAAAAAAAAAATTCATAATTTATGTAATTAATGATTTTTATATAAGCATGAAATAATAAATAATAATTGTATAACTAAGAAATCCATCGCCAACTGATGATAAAACGACTATATAATTTTATCTCCGATACGTCTAGAAATGAAAGGAGAAATTATTTCTGACATTTATCGACAACTAATGAATACACATTCCGCTAATATTAGCCAATAAACGTACACATCCTTAGAATAAGACACGTGGAGACTCGACGGTACGAATTTTATCGTTGCGCACTTTTTCGTTCATATAATCTGGGTACATAACGATAATAGTATCTCGCGTGCCGATTATCCTCGATTGATGGCACATATTCCCCGAGCGATACCCACACGTCGATGCGATGAATGAAAAACAAGGCGACAGATTATTGCTGAGTGCGTTCCAACCGAGATGACAAAACACTCTTGGATCTTCTATGATTTCCTTCGACTATATATCCTTCGCTCACACGCCTGGAAATTCACTTTTGAACTTTTTAATAAGGTTTGTACTGCTAGTTTTTTTTATGCGATTCTCCGTAATTATAAATTTTTCTTCGATTATCAACCCACTAATTTTAGCATTTCTTTATCTATCTCATTCTCTTTCTCACTTACTCTCACTCTCTCTCTCTCATTCCCTCTCTCTCTCTCTCTCTCTCTCTCTCTCTCTCTCTCTCTCATTTCCTCTTTTCTCCTCTCATCGTAATTTTACCTTTATCAAGCAATTTATAGTATAGATATTGATAAATTTACGAGAGATTATCAATTCGCATAATGACGTATACAATTATGTAACGGCTGTTTTTTAAAATGATGAGCAATGAAGTACAAAAAAAAAAAAATGTCATTTTTTAATGCAGTTACTTTCTTGTTTAGCTTACGAAATTATTCTAATTGAGTCTCGCAAAACATACTATAATTTAATAAGAATTATTATGTTTATTAAGCAATTTTATCATTGATTTTTCAAATAGATTTCTCTCTTGGTAAATCTTTCGGTAAATATGATTTAACAAAATTTGTTCAACATAATTATGGCCCAATAGCCGGATAAAATAGAAAAGTGAATTTAATTTCTAAACGAAGAAAATTACTACGAAATAATTATTGCCAAGGAACTGGAAGCATTGGGAATATTTTTATGGAGTATCGAGGAGAACCAAGCATATGACCCTTCTGCGTAAAAAAGGCATAAAATCCAAAGGTCTATGTATATGGGGGATTGTCCCCTGTATGACCTTCTTCACCATGACTAAATTTAATGCACTCAGCATGCATATATGAATAATATGCGACAGACACCCAAATACGACACGTTCGGGTTTTCGTGTACGTATGCATATGATTGACTCAAACTGGTTGTATATGGGTTGAAGACCTCATTCATGATCTCCAAATATATCAATTAAAATGGGGATTTCTCTTTTTCCTACTTTACCGCACATTTTGTACCATTTAAATAGTTGAAAGTTTATTCCATCTTGTTACATAATTTGTTTCATAATTAGCATGTATGTATGTATATTGTATAAAGTTTAAAAGATACATAGATTGGTAAATTATTATATTATACGCCATGATACTATTGTCTTTTAAAACTCCACGAAGAAAGTTTTCAACAGCGAAGAAAAATATTACCTTATTATAATTACCTATAAATTGAACATAAAGCCGTGATTTTAAATAATAATGAATCGATGAATTTTAGCTTGAATTTAAATATATATGGAGTGGGAGTGGGGGAATATTAAAAAAAGAAAGGGGCGAGAGAGCTGTAAACCATTTGCAATTATCGAAGAGCTTCCATTAGTTAAATATAGTCTATGTGTGCACGAAAAGAGAATCTCTCTCTCTCTCTCTCTTCATCTGTTTTACTCGCTCAGTCTCATCAAAACATCATTATCGCGCTTTTGAGCGAGCTTGTAAGCGAAGTGCAGGAAAGTGCGCAGACGAAAGGGTAAGAGAGAGAGTAGGGAGAGCATGCCCAAAGTACTATTAGTAATCAATTTCGTTGGCTCGTACAAGCCGTGTTTCGACCGAGGTCGCTAATGCTTGCAAAAGCGAAAGAAGAATTAAAGAGAGCGAAAGGGGACTGCCAGAAGAAACTTGGCAGTATGTGGCCGCGTAATGCCTTTTCTAATTTCGTTTTACTCTCTTGTAGCAGAAGCGACCATTTCGAAACATTTTCTGAGCGATCGTTTATCACTCAAAAGCGAGGCCTCGGAAAATTCCATTAATACTT